TTTAATGACTCAATGGTAGTAATGTAAACTAATGGAACTAAGTGAACCATTGAATATGATGGGTAGCAAAATTTATGATATAATAGAGTGTATGGAGATTAATGTTGGAAAACTCACAAAATGAGATAATGATGATATCCTTGTATTATGTTTATAGTGTGAATCATTGTGGTACCATTTAAGCTTGTGTAAAGCTTAGGAAGTGTTTTGTGTGAGGGGTAAACCTTTAACCTCTCAAAGGTTTGAGGTAACAAGAGAAAACCTAACTTTATATAGTTGAATATTAATTGGTTATTGATTGAAAATGGGTTGATTTGAATTATGATTTATATTTTGAACCCTTGATGCAAATTTGACATATTTGATGATGTGACATTGTGAAAATGCTATGTGTGTTCATATATATGTGAATAATGATGGTGATTGAGATTATGTGAGTATGTGTTAATAGAAATATGGTGTATAATGGTGAAAAAGAGTTTTATATGATTGATATGATGAGATGATTGTATCAATGACATTAATTATCATAATTGCATAGTGTGTAAAATGTATATAACATGATCATTGATAGAAATTCGCCTAGGGAGAGAAATAGATTGATTTAAATCCACGTGATACTAACAACGACCGTTAGAATAGAAAACGTGCCTTAGCACTGACCGTTGGAATTAAGAGTTAGCTCGTGTCTCATATTTGATTAGGTACTATCCCACTTATTTTATGAGGAACTCGAATCTAACTAGTCTCCACCGATTTATAAGGAGCTAAATTAGAGGTACGACACCCCATGATTGTTAATATTTGAAAAAACTGAATTACACAAGTGAGCGAGTTAACCCTTGACCCGGTAGCTCCTCACAAATGAAAGGTTGGGTTAGTCCATGAAGGATGTTGCCATATGATAGCCATCGATTTCATGTCGAAGATAACATGAGGGTATAAGGTTGGCATTTGATCATGCATTTAAATCCGGCCATATAGTTGTTAGTATTGTGGTCTGGTAAGTGTTAGGGGCACATGGTTAGTATTATTGCGACCCTAAAATGTGCATTGGCATTTTATGGATATGAATATGTGACTTGGGCCTAATCACATGATTGTTGGTATTGTGAATTGCGGCCAAATTTATCATATGTGTTGAGATGGTATGTGTTTGCCTACTTGTATCTGTTTCAATTGATATGTAATTATGTAGATTAGGTAAAACTTGGTTACTGAGTGATTGTACTCACTCCTCAATTCTCAACATTTTCAGAGCCTAGCTTATCAGATCCAGTATAAAAAAAAACGTTTTGAGGCATAAGATTGGGGTGAAAAATCTTGCTTTCATGCCTCTTTACTTAATTTTTGGTGTTAATGTTGTATAATTGCTAACTAAAATCACATGTCATTATTTTATACTACTTGCATTAATATAGTGTGCAACTTAGTACCCTGAGTTAAAGAGTTTTGGTTGTGAACTCATGCATAGAGCTAAAGTATTTATGCAAGTAGAAATATGTGTATTTTGAATTATTTGAAATAAAAATGATGGCTTTATGCATAATTTTCCTCCCCCTTGTATTTTGTGAAAATTGGGTGATTTTGAGAAATATGTGTTTTTAGTTGTCTCTGGTGAGTTGCACGGGTCTGCTAGAGTTTATTAAGTGTGGTTAGATAGTTGATATAGGCTTTTGGCACTTGAGGTTGAGTTGAGACACCATGATTGTGAAATTTTGGTGAAAAAGTGGTAAAACGGATTTTAGCATCCAACTTTTTGTAAAAAAATAAATTTGAGTGTGAAACCTATGCCATTAGCTAGAGTTAGGAGAAAGCTCCGTGTAGACAGTGAAATCACCTTAATCGAACGTCGGACGAAGATTTGAGATGCGTTTGAAGTTCACTCCCTATGTTGTCATTTTAACAACTAATATTTGTCAAATTCGTGTAATGTGCTACGACGCATGGCGCAAAGGTGTGTGAGCCACGACATATATGTCTTAAGCCATGGCACATGTTACATTTTCTGCACAAAACATATTTTTAAGTTTTGAAACTCATTGTTATGGGTCCTTTTTATTTTTCAAGCTTCCGTATTATTTTCAAACTCTATTTTGAATATTTTAAGTGTATGTTAGAAATTAAAAATTGAATTTTGAAATCTCATTGTAAATGATTTGAGAATTCTTCTCTTTTATAAAATCTTACAACTTTGGTAATCCTTTGAGGGTTAATCCCTTGATTACCTTAATGATGGAGTTAAATAGGGTTAAGTAAGAGAGAATCTACACTTTCGGTGAAGAGGATGACGAATAGGGCTCTTGGTGAAGAGGACAAAGATAGTGCTGTGAGTGCTCTTAGCATGAAGAAGACAATGACAATGCTTATTTTTAGGATTTTAAGTTTAAAAAGACATATAACATCAATTCATCCATTTAACTGATTTCAACTATCAACAATGGTTGCCACCAAATTGATAATAAACAATTTTGATTTTTTAATTCAGTAATAGCTTTTGAAAGCGAATATAAGTCACCCACGGTTAAAAGTCATAATTTTTAATTAAAATCATTTAAAAATATACTCTCAATAGCAAGAAATTGTTGTTCAATCGATAAACAACAGCGAATATGTTTTAGCCTGCTGTTAGAAGTTTAATAGTCATGCCCTTAATGACAAAAATATCACTGAGTTTATTTTCAACATTATTTGCTTGTGAATCAATGTTGAGAAAGTAGGTTGTTAAACACCTTTTTTGCACGAGTGTCTTTTGCTTGGATAAGGGGAAAAAAATGGAGAATATATTCTTAAATTTGGATATCGATTGGAATACTATAGGTCAAATTCTACAATCTCAAGAAACCCAAGCTCACCTTTTTTGTTGCCTAAATCCTTTTGGAAATGCGTTTGGCAAATTAAGATCCACCCAAAGGTTAAGCAATTTATGCAGAGACCTTTGAATTAGTCTCTTGCAACAAAAGATGCCTTGTATACCTGCAAGTGCTCTCTTAACCCACTTTGTCCTATGTGCAAGCATACTCATGAAACTGTTGAGCATTTTCTATTACGTTGTGGATGTGTTTGAGAAGTTTGGTTTGGTTGTCCTTTTATCCATATTATAGATTCTTTGTGTATTACATCTTTTAAATCTTGGTGTTGTGCTTTTTTCTTGATGATAGTTCACTAGATAACTTTGGCAAGGCTTATATTGATTGTCTATGTTGGAATATTTAGAATACCATATCAGTCTTTTGTATTTTCTACTATTGAGATCAATCCTAGTAAGGTCATTATTGACACTGCGCTGCTATTAGAGAATTTTGGACTGCTAATTACAAGGAAATTGCACCTAACTCCCCCCCCCTTTCCCCACAATGTAAAGTGGAGTTCTCTTGCTCAAGGTAGTGTCAAGATAAATTTTGATGGATCTTTCTCAACCAATTAGCACAAAGCAGGCATTGGTGTTATATGCCGGGACTCCAATGGAAATTTTCTTAAAGGGTGTCGACCATCTTGGTTGTCTTACTCAACCCCCACTCCCTCTATTATGTTACCACTTGCATGATTCAGTAACCTGATAGAAGTAATTTTTTGCGTCCCATGACCAACAATTATAGGGAGGGCATTGGTTAATGCTTTATTTTGATTTGTATTTTGTTCTATAGGTCTTTGCCACTGTGACTTGTGACTTTTTCTCTTCTGTACTTCCATTTTCATGGATGAAATTATTCCCCCTTTGGTAAGAAAAAAAAAAAGCCTGGAATGGGAGGGAAAGCTTCAGAGGATGACCGATAAATGAGTTTTTGTCTGCAAATCAATCGAAGGAAAATGATTTTGTGTCACTCAAAAATGAGCAAGATAAAGGAATGACAATATGAGTGATTTTCCAAAAAGTTTGGAGGCGTTTTCAACACCATGATGACGTGCTGCAACTCAAAAATACCCAACCTAGCAGAATAAAGGGAAAACAATTTTAGATTAGATGAACGTAAAACAATATAGATATTCATCAGGCACAGCACAGCACAGCACAATGATTCCTAACATTTGTCATTCATTAGAATTAGTTGCATCTAATATGTGATACAATTGATATGTGCTCTACAGGCAATGCTCTTCTACATGGCAGTCAAAATGTGGTGCTAGATTAGGGGCCAGGTTCATACTATACTTGAACGCCGAAGTTCAGGGAAATCGAACCTGTACCTCTCCCAAGCACTTTAAGCGAGAGCTCTACCATTTAAGCTACATCCCCTAGCCACACATCATCCCCTGGTTTATCTCAATTTACTAGACACATAATAGAGGCTGCACCGCATCTCACAAATTTCATGGCGATTAATTATAAAGTTAATACTTAAAACTATATATAATTGAATATTTTAAAAACATTACAGTCATTTGCTTTTTTTTTTTTAATCCATCCTTGTCTCATTCATTTCTCTAACTCAACATAGAAAGAGAACACCATTTTCAATTCTTCCTGGAGTATATCAGAAATAAATTCATAAAATTAATCTGCTAAAATTTGTGTTCATTTTTATTTTCATCTCAATTTCCGCAAAATTATTCTAGCATTGATATAGTGGCGGAAAGCCATTGCTCAGTCGCAACAACTTAAAAATAGGGTGGCGGTTACTGATGATTGGCACAGACCGCAGGAGCCATGAGTTGAGAAATCAATTTTCAATTTTTTTGCTAAGATGACATCCAACAGTTCGCATAATTATGGGGACTCGGCCTCAGGAACCAAAGCCATAACCCCACAACGATCCTCACTAGCTCGATGGAATGAACACGAAGAATGTGCCAAATATTTCCACAGCGATAGCCATCCTATATTCAGATTTCAGCATTTGCTTTTTCTACTGCTCCAGCAGCAGCAACCAGATTGTAGCTTCAAAACATTCACCATAACTCTTCACAGAATTTTATCCATTGCTTAAAACGCGAAAATTTGCCTGGTTCTCCAAAGCTTAACTCGTCTTGAAAGCGACAGCGGTGAAGACATCTTTAAGTTGGCAAAAAGGTGCATATCATTCCACTGATCATATGGATTACAATTGAAACAAAACCTCCCAAGACGTTGAACATCATATTTTTCTCTCTTTTACTGATCCCAACTGTAAAAGCTATGTATTCTTTGATGAAAAGGGAGCAAAGGATTCATGTAAAATATGTTCTTATCACATAAAAAAATGTAAAATGCAGCCAAACAGATTCCATCGTAACAAGCTCAGACTTTCAAGTCTGTAACTCCGGGGTGGTGGAAGCTTAGAATTCTTGGGATGCTGATCCAATATTGCCTTTTCCTTTCCCCATCGACTTGGGCAAGAGATTTTGATGGATATTTGGCAAAACACCACCATTAGCAATAGTGACGGATCCCAAGAGCTTACTTAACTCCTCATCATTACGGACTGCAAGCTGAATATGCCTTGGAACAATGCGATTCTTCTTGTTATCTCTAGCAGCGTTGCCAGCAAGCTCAAGAACCTGTAACACAACAGCACATGCAACAAATAATGAATTCACACCATCCATCAGCATGATTGCCATGGGGGAAAATCCTCCCATAGATTAAACTTAAAAGTATGCATATATCGAGAAACGATTGAAGATTAGATGACATTATGACAATGCGATGCGAGTCCCCTAACTGAGAAAATCAACAAAAAATCCTTCTCACTGCTTCTCCGTCTTGGCTTCATTAACAATCTCTAAACACGAATGCCATTGAACCAGAATATTCAAACCAAAGCCAGTTCTTCACTGAAAAACTTAAAAAGACAAAGCAAATTATACTATAGACTGTCAATGACAAGATGAGAATTGATAGCTTAGTATCATAATTCATGTCTTGCTTTGTTTGCATTGTTTCCCGCGGACTTAATAGAAATGATACCACGTAATTTACCTCAGTAGTCAAAACCAAGAAATCAAATCCATACTCGCAAACTTATATATTGTTTAAAAAAATTTCGTTCTCGATTAACCCCCCGATTCCCCGAGCATGAGATTTCGGAACTCCCTTCTATAAAAACGAAGCTAGCAGCATGTGGATTCAGGGAATCTCACGGAAAAACCAAAAAAACAGAACAACTGTATTGCATTGGACGGAATGGAGTCGTCACTTATCCAATGCGAATACATCAAATCTATTTGAAGAACTAAACATAAAATATCGTGACGAACAAACAGACAATAATGGGATAACACAAATCGAAGATCGCACGGGAGACCGGAGACTGACCTCAGCGGCAAGATATTCCAATACGGCAGCGAGATAGACGGGAGCACCGGCACCAACACGCTCGGCGTACTTACCGGCCTTAAGAAATCGGGCGATGCGGCCAACGGGAAACTGAAGACCAGCCTTCTGAGACCTAGAAACAGACTTAGAGGATTTGGGCTTACCCCTTCCACCTTTGGCTGATCCCGTGGAACTCATCGTCGCGCAGACGGCCTTCGAAGAGTCAAACTAGGGTTTAGCAATCAGAGAATGAAGGCACTATTCGGTTTCGTTTCCGTCGGAGTGTTCCTCTGTCTGGACTTCTCCCCTCTCGGTTAAGCGCTCCGAGATTTAAAGCCGAGAGGACCAATACACAAATTGTGCAAAACTCTGCAACAAATGGCAGTATCTGATTGGTTACAATTAAGCGGCTCGGATTGCCATCGTGGAATGCCGCAGACTAGAACCAACGCAAGATCAAGGCAAAGCACCTCACGCATCTGATTTAAATTGATTGATACTTTTGAAATTTTTATGTCATATTCTTTTTATTTCCTTTTCTATTTTCTCAATACAGGCCGAAAGAAATTAGAAAGCTTATTCGCGCGAACCTTAATCATACCCCAATTAACAATAACGATGACAGTAACGTTTGACGACATATATTTAAGCCAACTTTATACCATCAGTCCTGGCCAAAGCATTTTGTGATCACTCATTCTGTTTATCACTCTCCACAATTTAAATTACTCGGACCACCTTGATTTGAATGTTAATAGAAATTATATTTCCATTTCCTTTGGAACAAAATAAAAGCCCTTTCCGCCAAACAGGAGACCCTGAACAAACGTTATTAGTAACTTTGCAGAGTTCCCTCAAAGCCGATGATCTCGAGATTTTATAGACAAAAAATAAAAAGCAAGAATATCGAGTCCATCAACGATGTCGATTTGCGTTTCGGCAAATTCAAGACAAATGCATTGACCAGAACAAATTAAATTTCTTTAATTTGGAAAATATGGATATACAAAGACGCCACTACACCCTACTTATCAGTTGAGAAGAAAGAAGCAAAAGATAATTTACTTCAAACTTTTGATAGATAACTAGCTAAGCTGTGGATCGCGTCTAAAACTCCTGACTCGCAGAGCCAACTTCAGGTTTGTCTTTTAGATTCTTCTTGGGCAATAAATTGGGATGGATTTTCGGCAGCACACCCCCACTTACAATAGTGACAGAACCTAGCAGCTTGCTCAATTCCTCATCGTTTCTCACAGCAAGTTGAATGTGCCTAGGTATAATCCTGCTCTTCTTGTTATCCCTGGCAGCATTCCCAGCCAGTTCCAGAACCTAGATACAGCAAATGATTATAAACAAATACAAAATTGAATAAAATACTAGTAATATAAAACCATTGGCAAACGAAGGAGGCATAAAATTACAAACCTCAGCCGCGAGGTACTCAAGAACGGCAGAGAGATACACAGGGGATCCAGATCCTACGCGCTGAGCGTAGCGACCAATCTTAAGATAACGGGCGACGCGGCCGACGGGAAACTGAAGGCCGGCTTTATGAGACTTAGACACCGATTTGGCCTTAGGTTTGCCCCTGCCACCCTTAGCCGTCGTTACCGTAGCCTCGGAACTCATGGCGGAAATGACAGATTTGAATTTGCAGAGAAATATGAACTGGTGACGAAAATGATGGGGACTTGTGAGTACGAGCAAGTGGCTTGGCTTTATATAGAGACTGAGCTACCCAGTGATTAGCTGAGCAAGGGTGCTCGTGGATCGCCAGCGTGGCAGACTAATTGATTTTTAAGTTTTGAGTTTGCGCTTTGAGGCGGGAAACAAATTCCCAATTCTCAAAATGTTTTTAATGGGTCGCATTCCAAGGCCCAAAAACAAGAGCCGTTTTAAGCTTCTCTTCTCAGTTGACTGAGCTTCCTCAATGGGCCTATTGGCTTTGCCTACTTAAAATCATGCAATCCCAATTACCAGTATGCCCCAATCTAAACTAAGTCTCCTATCATCATTTCAGAATTTGATTTTTAAATTTGTGTATGAAAAATATTACTCGTAAGAGAATAATCTTTTAAATGGCACTCAATTTTTTTGAAAAATAATCTCACAACTTTCAGCTGTAGAGATACTTTAGGCAACTAAAATAAATAAATAAATTGTGTCACCGGTCATATCTTTTTGGGGGAAAAAAACAAAAGAAACTTGAAATAATATATAGATATGTATATGTATAATTTATTAAAAATTATATTATTTATAAATTTATTTGTATTACTTTAATCCTTAAATTATTCACGTCGCCATCTTTTTAAGTTGGCCCTACAAAACATGATTTTCTATTCGATAATTAGGCGGATCTTGTGTATGCTTTAAAAATTTTGATATATTGTTTTTTTATTCTTCTATTTCCTAAATCCAAATTGAAGAGAAGGATCCACAAATCCAATTTTCTGATTGGTACAATGTTTTACCCTATGAAAATGAGGCATCTTATTTTGAATCTTGATCCCAAGTGCTAATTATTTGACAACCCTTACTTGCCTACACAGCATATTCGTCATAGTCTACTTAATGATCCATCAGGGTACAATTTTTAAATATAATGAATGACATGAAACTCAGTAGACATGTGTCAGTTTCACTAGTCTTTTTATTTTTTAATATATAGAAATTTTTGTTTAAGTTTATTCCTTAAAACTTGGATCAAATCCTCATCAACTTAGTTTTGTCTTTTGTTACCTTAAGACACCGAGCACCAAACAGGATATTAAACTTCTTATGTGCCACTTGAACATGGGAGCTCCCTTAGCTCTGGTTTCATCTCAAGATTTGTCATTTATACGAAAAGTGCACGTGACAAAAAGCTTAAAACACACAATGAGCGATGAGGTTTGAGAAAACCAAGCCGATCCCATAGCTTGCCTTTGTCATCCAAAGCTATCGTTCTTTCATTTCGTCTGAGTTATATCAGTCATGGCAATGAACCATGACGTAGAAGCAATGCAAAATAGAAGCAGGGCTGAGTTAGGAGAACCACTTATAGAGAAAAGATCGATCAAAGGCCAAAACTCCTCTCACGGGAATATCAGGGGCGAAGAATCTCTAGCATGTGTTTTCATAAGCACTCTTTTTAGTAATTGTTGGTTCATATGAATTTGGTTTTTGCGTGAGTCACTTTCATCCTTTCCAGCCATTTTGATTATGAATTCAAACTATGCTCTTCAGTTTAGCCAAGTCCAACCACCTTCAAGTACAAGCTGATAAACCAATAAATCAATTATAGTCAGGCACACATTCTTCTTAAACGTAATGCTGTTCTGTTATTGTTTCATATGTTGTTGTCATTATTTGGCTCATTGGTTACTGTCGGTGCAGTAATCGGTGCCAACACAAGCAGACATATGGCAGGCCAATGTGGTTGGAAATTGTCGCGAGTCCCATATCAAAAAGCCTTACAAGAAGTGTGATTTTTATACGTGTGAGGGGTTTTTTCACCCAATAAGCTGGTTTTTGGAATGAGCTCTCCCTTTCGAACCCCCTCACACATAGAAACCTCACACCTCTTGTAAAGCTCCTCGATGTAAGACTCATGACAAAAAGAAAGGGGTAAGAAAAAATTGAAGCTGAAGACTCTAAATTGACTGCAAAAGAATTGGTGGGTTAACTCAAGCAAGTGGCATTGAAGCTGACAATATTCGAGTTTTTGTATCCAGGCGCTTCAATCCCAGATGATATTTTTGACTCAAGCAGGCAATGAGTTTTGCTGGTTGGGTTGCAATATACTTTTCAAAGGTGTGGAGCTTTTTTTCACTTCCAAAAACTTGTGAAACCCTAAGTTTAATGCCAATTAATTAACCAATGTAGTTTAAAAAATTACTTGTTTATTTGATATTAGGGGTCTTCATTGCTTTGTATTGGGAGGTTCTTCACGGGATACGGCATTGGAGTTCTCTCTTTTGTGGTTTGTTATGGATGACAAAATTTCTTGCTTTATATCTTTCTTTATTTCTCATGTATGTGTTCTCAAAAATGTTAATCCTAATATTGTTAGATGCCTATACATTTTGCTGAAATAGCACCAAAAGAACTCTGAGGTGGCCTGGCTACATTGAATCAGGTATGAAATTCTACTACTCCAGGCAGATTATTTGACCATAAAGAACTTAACGATTATATTTTTCTCTCATGCTAGGGACTGTAGTAACATGGCAAGCACTGCCTCTTACTGGTACATGATATATATAGTGAATGAGTGCAACCAATCTTTCCCCCTTAAAAAATTCAAATAAACTAATTAGCTAATATTTGTGAAGGCATTGTCCCCTCTCTACTGCTCCTAGGCCTTTATTTTTATTCCAAACTCGCTCAGGTGGCTAGTAGTAGCCATATTCAACCAGAAATTTTATTTCTGCCGAAGCAAATTATAACGTTACCTTAACCACAACTTTCAGGCAAAGGCTGGACATTAAAAAGAGTTCACAAATACATTAAGAAAGCTTCGAGGAGATGATGCTGACGATCCAGGTTTTGTCTTTCACCTTCTATGTGAAATAGTTGCTTGAGCCAAGTATGATATTTACGTAAAAGCAAGAACTGGTGGCTTAATTTCTGGGCAGGAGTATCTGCAAACCCTGACGTGCATGCCAAAAGTTGGAATGTCGGATTTACTCCAAAGAAGATACTTGCATGCTGTTATTATAAGCACCATATAATATGATTAAAACTGTTTACCAATCCACTGAAACTTCTATTTCAACAGAATAGGTACAAGGATAAATGAGACTAAAACAGCTTCTACTTCCTGCAATTGTCTATGATAATAAGTTTGCTTCAAATGTCCACCTAGGTTTCACTTCTGGCAAGCTCGGAGTAATAGCATTTGGCTGTATTCAGGCTTGATAATCCTTCTATATTTTGTACTTTTCTTTTTGACAATCGCAAACGGAATCAAAGTAGTCTAAGAGATAAAGAGGATTTCTTGCAGGTTCCCGTAACAGCATTAGGTGCTGTCTTGATGGATAATTGTGGCAGGAAACCCCTTCTTCTAGTAAGTGTAGATTTACACGGTGTCCTATCCCCCTAAACTTGTGTACAATTAGAAATCTTGTTCATATTGTATTTCAGGTATCTGCTATAGGCACATTCGTGGGGTACTTCCCAGCAGGAACATCTTTCTTTTTAGTGATTACATCAATTTCTTAAACATCAAGAAAAATAATGGTTTGCCACAACTCACGCGTGTGAAACTAATTTTTTGATTTTGGAGCCTCTCACTTGGGATAATCTGATTTAAGCCTTTTACACAGAACGATGGCATGTTACAAGGACTGGTTCCAATACTTGTTCTTGCTGGAGTACTAGTAACATACACACATACATTATCTCAATCCCATTCCCCTCATATTGACACACTTTTGTGAGCTCAAGTGTTATATATTCTCATCATCATTTTTGCATAATGCGTCAGATCTATTGGAATGAGAGAGATTCCATGGGTTATAATGTCTGAGGTCCGTTATCATTCTCTCTTGGCATAATATTCCCTCTACTTAATGCTTAAAGGGATAAGACATAGTCACTGGAGGATATGGCATTGCTTCATATATTTGCCATCAACACAAAGGGAGCAGCAGGAGGTTTGGTCAACCTTATGCATTGGTTCAGTGCTTGGGCCGTCTCCTACAGTTTCAGCTTTTAATGGAATGGAGTCCTGCAGGGGAATCTACAATCTACACTTCTTCACATGAAATTAGAGGAAACAGAAATAAAATAACATGGTCTTTCTTTCAGGTACCTTCTATGTTTATTCAGGATTCTGCACTATGGCTATATTGTTCGTGATCAAGGTGGTTCCAAAAACAAAGGGAAAAACTCTTGAAGAGATTCAGTCCTCCCTCAATTCAGAACATGAGAACAGATGAAATCGAGGCTGAGCCCATTGATGAATTTATGGTGTTCTGGTCGGGGGGGATGAAAGTTAGCAATGTGTGGTCATGGTCTTGATCTTGAGTGTTGGGATATAATAATGGCCGAGGCATAAGGAAAACATGGGGAATTCATGACATCGTGTTTCCATTACATTCAAGATTGAGAGTTGCTTCACGAAGTTAAAGCATCCGCAAATGGTTCCACTTGACATGACAATCATTCCTGAGTTGTTACTTTCTTACCTATCTCCAATACAAAAATCGAGGGATCAAACTTGATTAAAAAAACGTGCTCAAGTTAGTGAACCACCTCTTGTTATATAATTTGGCCAGGAATTTTTTCCTCAATAAAAAAAAAAAGTTAACTATGTAACGTGAGTGATTCTTTAAATGGTTGGAATGACCAACTTGTGATTGATATTATTTTGCTGCTTATCAAAGTCGTTCTTGATTTGCTAATCGGAGAGGTAGCACATTCAACGCTTGCCTGTATCTCGAACATGATTGTCTTCAAAATCATCAACTGTACAACAACAATAACAACAAGAAGTGGCACTGGATTTATTACACAATGAGAATTGCCAGAATGCCTCATAACTTAGCTACAGTGAGATGGAAAAATGCAAATAATAGAAGTCCAGATGATTGACCCATCCCTCCATGGACCTTTTCCTCTTTATTTTATGATAAAGTAAATTTTCATGTCTTCTTTTTTTATTATTTATGAGTGTGTGTAATAACAAGAATTGTTCATTTTC